TTATGCTAAGCTTTATTGCTTTTCTTTTGATCAGAATGGTGTTGTTGAGCAAAGCAGCAGACAAGGCATTCTTTGATGAGGGAATTAGCTCTCCATTCTTCCTCTATTATTCATAGCACAGTGGAATATGTAAGTACCTGAGGGTGTCAAAGGAGCGCAGGTTCTATTGCAAAGTGCTCGCCTTGTTTCTCTCAATAGCTGACTATGAGATGATAAACCGCTTAATACACTGTGCTAATTGGATGAGAGCAAAAAGAGATGGGAATTAAGGCGAGGCAAAAGGAGAAAGTGCAACCAGCCTTCAATTCACTCTTTCACCACTTTACCAGCTCCAAAGGAGGCACAAGCTTTCTATAAGCAGACTAGAGGTTTTGTGCAGAGATAAAATGAACGTGTTAGTGGATTCAAGTAATACACTAATTATTGCACAGTATAAATACCACTACTGGTTTTATAACAGGGAGGTAAACTTCTTTTGAGAGGGTTATAGGATTGCTTGGCAGTGGTGTAGAACCTAATAAGGGCCCAGAGTAATAACCCCCTGGATTAACAAAATTGCTGCTTGTTAGAAGTATGATTCAGGCTTTCCCGAAGATTTCCGGAGAATGAATAAAAATGACTGAATGACATTTCTTAATGTATAACTGGCAATCGCTCCCTTTTCTTTAAAGGAAAAAATGTATACTTCAAACTGGACCGTTAATAAAGTCCAGGGACAACACGACTTTTTCCTTTGAAAAACGCTTTTTCCCATCAGGTAGTAGGTTTTCTTGCCCCCGCCTCCCAGGCAGGCTGCCACCGTAAGTTAAATGTGCAGTTGCTCCGGTGAACTCGTGTTCCAAAATACAATTTTAGCCCCCATTTAAGACCCCCTTCATTCAGACACTCACTTTTGTGTATACACATACACACATGTTCATGTAGAGTTTTTCCTCCAAATGCAAGTTGAACGAACCCATGTATCATTTTCTTTTCTCTAACATCAGCCCCCTTTTCCATTCTGGTAAGATCACACTCAAGACGATACAAAAAAGAGAACTCCAGATGCCTTGTCTCTTGGTATTATGAAGAAAAAACAATAATAAATGCTTGCCCTACTGGGAGGGGGGGGTTTAAGGGGGAAAAAGGGAAATTGGCCGGGCCAATACTGGTGACTTTTAGCTTAAGTCCCCCAGTCGTCACAGACCTTCTCTTCAATAGTCACTCTCCCCTAATTCATCTGCCTTCCATCTTCCTCACTATAAGCCTAAGCTGTTTACCGCAACTACGGTCCACAGTTCAGGCCATGGGTAGTTGGTGACGGAAGAACACTTAGGGGCACCTTCTGACAATGTTAGGCCAACTGCCTCCTCTCCTTTTCCTGCGGGTCCTCATCCAGATGTGGTCTGAAAATGTAGCAAATTAACTCACCCCTTCCCCTCATTCCCACAGAGGCCCAGACCAGGCTCCCAACCACCCCTCACCCCAAGATGCTGTGGAGGTGGCCCTGGGAAAGCCGGTGGTGGGGCATTCTGCCCTGGATGTGACAGGGGACAGCCATGCCCCTGTCATGGGGCTCTCCCCAATTTGCCTGGGCTCCGGCTCCGCATCCCTCCTCCATGGTGCAAGGGGGGGAGGGGGGGCCGTCAGCCGCTCCCAGCATTGTGACTGCGTTCCCAGATATTGGGGCCAAATTGGGTTGCCATTCATTAATAATGCTCACAATAAGATTAAATCATTCTGGAAAATCTCATAAAATCCCCCTAAGTACGCTCCAGTGGCTCTTTCCAATCCCCATCATTCAGCACTTGGGGAGGTTTGGAAGGAGAAGAAAATTGGTTTCTTTGCTTTTAATGCTGCTTTGAAAAGATACTCAGAGTTTGTCATGCGTGACATGTCACATGTTTAATGTGGACTTGCTGGAAGTCAGGGGGTCTTTAGCGTGTGATATTTATGGGGAATATTAAGTGCAGAATGAGGTCCCTCCAGCTGGGGAAAGTTGAAAGAATAGGAGGCCTAGAACTGGGCTTGTTTGCGGCATCAGAATGGCATAGGATTAAGAGTTTGTAAAACAAGGCGAGGGGTTCTCATTGGCCAGTAATAAACGTAATCCTTGGAGGTAATTTCACGCAATTTGCTTCTGCTCCATGGAAGGGTCAAATGAGAAAAAATGACTTAAAAAAGAGTTCATTAACAGGAAGAATGGTACTGTTTCTCGTACACCATCCAACTGGCAGCCTGGAGAGGGGAAAAGCCCTACCTAAACAAAAAGCCAAAATCGACGGAAAATTGATAGTGACCACAAAAAGAGAGAGAGAGAGAGAGAGAGAGAGAGAGAGAGAGAGAGAGAGAGAGAGACCTTTCCCTCACGTTCCTCCTGCACTCCCCCTCTCCACTCCAAACTCCTGAGCAACTCTGCCCACCCCAGGAAAGCGGCCTTCACCCCAGAGTCTGGAGGTTTGACACACTCAGATACCGGGGGTCCTCCTACAAAGTTCCCGCCGGGCCTGCTACACCCCAGAGAGAAGTGTGCGGCGGGAACTGCTGAGAGAAGGTAGTGAGAGAAGGTAGTGGGCCGCGTGCGCCCCAAGCCTCAGGCCAGGCCCCAGCTTGTGAGCGAGTCTAAGGCCGGGGCAGGGTGGCGATGACCCGCCCCAAGGCCCGGGAGCCTCGAGGGCGCGCTCCCCAGGGTTTCCAGCGGGCGGGGGCTCCGGACATCGGGGGCGGGGGTGTGGGGGGGGGCAGATGAGGACTCCCGGGCCTGAGCCTACCAGCTGCCTAGCGGGCGGCCCTCCCGGAGCCGCCGCTGACCTCGGCCCGACCCCGCACCTGCCCCTAGGCCTTGCACACTGGCGCCCCAGGCCGAGGGGACCCGCCCCCTCCTCCAGATCGCCGCTGGGAGCGCACGCCGAGCCCGATCGCTAGGGCTGGAGGCGCGCCCGCGCCTCCCACGGCGACCGAGGGCCCGGGGCCTGGCGGGGCCAGCGGGTTCCGGCTCCGCGAGGCGCGGTAGTCACACACCCGCTGCCTGCCCCCCTCCCGCCCCCCGCCTGCCCCTCTCCCCAAAGGTCTGGCGCGCTAATTACTGCAAATTGAAACTAATTAGGCTTCTCTTCCCTTTCCCATCACCCTGGGAGCGTTGGTGAGACCCGGCCCCTGCGGGCGGTCTAAGGCCCAGCGGTCACCCTGAGAGCGCAGGTAGGGCCTGGGGCGGGGGCCGGGGAGGGGGAGGCTTCCGTTCGGGCTCAGGGGAGGGGTGCGCCGAGGGGGCCACAGACCGAAAATCGGTTGGGGGTCTCCTCTCGAAACTTGAGTTGTTTAGATTTTTTTAAATGTATACATTTTTCAGTGCCTGGATAAGTGATGACATTTGTCGAGTTAAGATCTGTCACTTGGATATCTCTCGCTGCCTTTCCCGTCACCATCCCCACGGTCTAGGGCTCTTGGGGTTCTCTCTCTCTCTCTCTCTCTCTCTCTCTCTCTCTCTCTCCTCTCTCTCTCTCCCCTTCCTTCCCCCTCTCCATCCCTTCTCACTGAGCCTGTACTGTGTACCTAGGAGCCCGCCCCTTGGAAGCCAGCGCCTCGGTTTCTAGCCATTACCTGTCATCTGGGACTGAGCACTTTCCACGAAGAGCTCCCTTCGACTTGCCAGCCAAGGCTCCCGCTCACTTCCACTTTGTCTCCACCATCAACGACACCTACCTTGCACCCACCCACCCTGGAGCCTACCCCACCTCCGTGGCCCACGACCCGAGGGAGCAGAGAAGCCCCTGGAAAGCGCCACCGCGGCGTCCCCGGCCTCTGCAGGAAGCTCGGGTGCCTGTGAGGATCAGATTCAAACCAGGGACCGGTGCCAGGAAAACGGGAGTGCAGATAAATCCCGGGGATGCTGGGGCGCCCAGCCCTGGCCTCCGGGGTCCCCCTTCTCCTGTCCCCTCAGTGCCTGCACAGAGCATTCACACTTCCTTTTGTTAAACATATAATTTTTTTTTATTTTGAGCGTGACACTTCTCCACTAGATAGCAAGGAAAAGTGATAACAATTACACATTACACAAAAGTACTGTACCATTGCCTTTATCTTGAAGGTTTCGGAAGCCTCTACCGTTAATAAGTTAAATAAAGGGCTTGATTGAGTACATAAATATTTGTCTAGGAACCCTACCGTATCTACAACACAGTAAGAATCTACAGGAGGACAAACTTTTACCATACCACGCTGAGTGCAATTGCGTTATAACATTTCAAATATACAAAGCTCTGTTCTTTTTTTTAATAACAATGGTATGTACAGAATCAATAATCACAGTTGGTGACTTCAACAGTCCATATTCTAGCAGAGTATTTCCCTTTGGTTTGATAGAAAAACCTTGGTTGGTGTATGATAAAGAAGAGAACAAGAACAAGACGCCCCTTTCCATTAAGTGCACTGTTAGCTATCTTACAGATTCGCATTCGCTTCCCAGGCCCTGGCTTCATGCCGGGGGCCCACGCTGGGGAGATCAACGTAGAGCGCCAAAATGCTATTTAAAAAAGAAAAAAAAAAGCTAAGTGGGATGTCGGGAGGAAGAGAGGTTGGGCTTTTTAAAATTTTCACTTCGATACCAGGCGTCTTGGGGAGAAAACCTCCCCATCTTTTCAGTAAAGTAAGAATGGGAGAGTGTGGACGTCCGAGTTGGAGCAAGGTTGGCAGGAGTAGGGACGGGGCGCGTGGGGGGGGGGGACGGCAGAGACAGGGGAGGAGTGGACAGCCAGCCCAGGAGGTGCCACGTCCGGTAGCGCCGAGGGC